TATGGTGAACAATATGGATCACGGTTTGCCCAAGTTTTCTCTTCTAGGTTATGATGATTGGAAGATCATGATGGAAGCACATCTCTACGCTCTACATGATTGCATGTGGATGGTGCTTGAGGATGGACCCTTGAAAATCCAAATGGAGAACCCTGAGAGGAATCCAGCTGCTCCAGATGTAGTCCAGTACATTCCAAAGCCCAAAGAAAAATGGGATGATAGAGATTGCAAAAAGCACAATCTGGACAACGTCTCCAAAGAAGCCATCTTCAAGACACTTGATCCCATCACCTTCTCTAAGATTAAGCATCTCAAGACTGTCATGGAGATTTGGCAAGGTCTTGGGAAGCTATGTGAGGGATCAGAGGATCTGAGAAAGCAGAAGATAGAAGTCCTGCTTGAGAAGTTCAAAAGCTTCAAAATACTTACCGGAGAATCATTTGATATGTTGGATGAAAGATTCCACAAAATATTGAATGATCTTGCTTCACTTAACCACATTCTTTCTCCCAAAGAAAAGAATGTAAGGTTGCTGAGATCACTCCCAACTGAGTGGTACACCAAAGCCACAGCCATGGAAGAATGAAGAAACCTGGAGAACTACACTATTCAAGGTCTCCTTGATGAACTCAGAACCTATGAGCACGAGCTGAAGAAGAAGAAGGAAGAACAAGTCACTCCCTTCCCCACGGCATTGATGACAACTTCAAGAATCCCATCAAGTGAAGGGACATGCACAAGAAACTGTGAAACACCTTCCTCCAGCCATCCGTCAAGCTCAAAAATGGAGAACTACGATGAGGAATTTGCCATGATGGTCAAACAATTCCGGAAGTTCAAGAAGTTCTTCAAGAAGGCTGATTCAATCAGAAGGCCATCCAAGGGAAAGCCACAGGTAAGTGACTCCCCTCCTGAATCTTATTTATGCTATAACTGCAGGAAGCCTGGCCACTAGAAGTCAGCGTGCCCGTACCCAAAAGTGGAGAAGTACGGAGAAAGAGAAAGGATCGAGAAGAAAAAGAAGGCAATGGTTGCTGCTGAAAGTGACGAGTCATCCATCTCAAGCTCGGATGAAGAAGCTCTCGTCTGCATGGAGCGCAGAGTTGAAAAGTCCAATCATGAGGATAGGTGGACCATGTCAGAAGATGACACTCTCTGCCTAATGGCCAAAGATGATGCTGATCAAGAGGTAACCTCACAAACCTCCTGCGCATCTTCTTATGAAAGCATACCAACTTCTGAAAATCTTTTTGACCAGTTCAAAAAGATGATGAAAGACTTTGAGAAGATAAATCTCAAACATTCTTCCTTAACAGAGGAGAACAAACTATTGAGTGAAGAGAATCTCAAGTTGACTGAAGGTCGGAAAAGTCAACTGAATGAGATCACTCAACTCAAGACTGAAAATGAATCTCTCTCTAAAAAGGTGAAATCCCTTAACAAAGAACTAGGGACTCTTAAGTCAAAAGAGGCAGTGGATAAGCTTCTTGAAACGACCAAACATAAGGGTTTTGAAACGACCAATATACACGAGGCTATACCTCTGAAAATCTTTTTGACCAGTTCAAAAAGATGATGAAAGACTTTGAGGAGATAAATCTCAAACACTCATCCTTAACAGAAGAGAACAAACTATTGAGTGAAGAGAATCTCAAGTTGACTGAAAGTCGGAAAAGTCAACTGAATGAGATCACTCAACTCAAGACTGAAAATGAATCTCTCTCTGAAAAGGTGAAAT